AATAACGACGAATCGATCAGTGCTCAAAACGATGAAACGACATTTAGTACCGAAAATCAAACACTCGATAAAACCAATAATATAAATAACGATACGGCAACAGAAATAGATCCCATGAGTAAAACAACTAACGAAAGAATTAACGCAACTACGATAAAAGAGGAAAGTATACTATACGTACCGAGTTTGGCGAATCGTGTACAAAAAAAAACTGATAAATCTGGATATAACACAAATAGAATCGATAGATTTCACGAAGCGAACAACCGAGGAACGACGAGCACTCGTCCGGATTACGACGAAAATTTTACCGACAACGACGTGATCACTAAATTCGAAACCGATCAACGGGAAGATGTACAGGATATCAGTAAAGTACGATGTTACGATTACGATGATTACTATGATTATATAACATATCTAATGGTATTAACCATATTTGTAACAATCGATATCGTTATTAACTATACATGTGTGTATTGAAAATAAATAAAATTATTTCAAACCCAGACAAACGTGACGATATATTTTGTAATATAATATTACATTTGTTTTTTATTTATTTTTATTTTTATTCTCTTCAAGAAAGTAAGTTTACGAATACAACGACTATGTATTTCTGTGTGTTTTTTTTATTATGTCTACATTCAAAGTTTTTGTCCGTAACCGATTACAAAATACCCTAAACGATAGTGGAGGTTATTTCAGAAAAAAAGCCTATAGATATAGTTAATGTTAATATATTATATTGTTTAAGAAAAAAAAATGTTCAGTATTCAAGACGAACAACAAACGCCTATGCAACAGCATAACTTGTACAATCGGCCGATGTATGACCGTAATACTTTGAGTACGCAAATAGAAAATGACATAATGTGTACTGCTGAATTCGAAGACTATATTATTTTATTTTGTAAAGTAACGAGTGCTGCTAGTTTTTCGGTTTCTGAAATATCACAATTTATGTTTGAATTTCAAAAGTCACCGATACTGTCATCAATAATGTTAAACGAATCGTCAGATATGTCAACTAACACCGCTCTAGCATGCCTACGGTCGTTGATAAATTCACGAGATCGCAATATACCGAGCATATTCATACCGCGCATACTGGCATTGTCAAATTTACAAATAAACCTATCGCCAACCAGACTAACGTCAGTAAATTCTATAGTTGCCAACGTGTCGTGCAAAAATACGATACCCCTACAAAAGTTGTCGGCTTCTTCGTCGCAGACAATGGTCGAAAATCTGAACAGGGATATGAAAAACATGACAAGTTATAGGGTTGAGCAAACGGTGTCGAGGGTTCCGATAAAAATTAAGTTTACTTCAGAATTAATGAATCAATTGGCCAACGCCCAAGTAGATCTATTCAAAACGATTAAAGAAGGCAACCGGAGGCATAATATCGAAATTTCGGATTATATAAAAAACAAATTGAATAAAATATGATTACATTATTTTTTTATTAGGTTTTGCAAACCTACAACTAACGTGGTCAATGATCATAATAACAAATTTTTTGCTACATCGGCCATGGTTTCGACAACAATAGGAACGGTAAACTGTGATAAAATCATATAAGTCGTATAGATATTTATCGGATATGAGAGATAGCCAAAGATTTTTCGCGAATAATCAATAAAACGGTTATGATTTTGATACTTACTTTGATTTTTATTATCTTCATTCAAATAACAACTCTTTACGGTAGCTTGTTTATAACTCATGTCTGTATTGAAAATCTCTTTTTTCGACTTGTACGGATGACTGCGAGAATAATGTTTTTTCTTAGAATATTTCAATTCTCTCGAAGATGGTAAATTTTCGAAAGGTTTATTTTTTAAAGATTCCTTTAGAGTTCCAGATATCTCGCCGTGTGGCAATAAGATAACGCTCAAATCACTAGTCGAACCGTTCACGGAGTAGTCAGTCGATTCCGAATCGGATTCTAACTCTGATCTGTCTATGGGCTCAGGTGATATTGTATTACCAACGTCTGACATTTTAATTTTCTAAAACTATACAATAATATGTCAATACTATTTCTCTTTGCCGAAAGGCGGGTCGTCAAAATAGGTCCCACCACGTGACTCGTTTGCCGATTGTACATTACATTTATTATTATTATTATTATTATTATTATTATTATTATTATTATTATTATTA